TGCTTTCTCTGCCTCTCGGTTGGCCAATGTGGGAGGAGCCCCCCCCCCATCGCCATGCCTGTCCCATCATGATGGACTGAGATACTCTGAAACTGTGAGCCAGAATAAGCCTTCCCCAGCTCATGCTGCTTCTGATAGGTATTGTGTCATGTGAGTAGGAAAACAGTTTCCATTCCTCTCTGACCGTTGGTATGGGTTCAATAGTGTCCATCTGAAAAGATCTGAACCTAGATTTCATAATGCACCCACTGGGGGGTTTAGGGCAGGTAGCCGGACTTTTGGCTCCTTTATTGAGTTCTTTTTCCTACCTCCCTACACCCCCACTCCAGGACTAGGTAGAAGAGAAAGAAGGTTAAAGGGGAAAGACAGCATTGATGTTGTTAGACTACTTCCTGCTGATTAGGGGTGTAGAGCTCCTTGGGGCTGAATGTAAAGTATCTTCAGCTGGCAGAACCATGTCCCTTCGAGAACATTCGGCAAATCATAGTCAGCTGCTGTGGACAGTCTGAAATAGCCCCATATCCCACACCTGGGATTTAAGCAAAAAAAAAATATTCCCATAACATTTCTTTTCTTTTTTCTTTTTTGTTTGTTTGTTTGTTTGTTTGTTTGTTTAATTCTCACTGCAAAGACAAGTAAATCTTTATGAGTTCCAGGACATCCTGGTCTACATAGAGAACTTCAGGATAGCCTGGTCTGTATAGTGAGTTCCTGGACAGCCAGAGCTACATAAAGAGAGACCTCGTCTCAATGAATAAAATAAACAAATTATCGAGTCTTGCTTGCGGCACTTCTGTACGTGAACAGAGACTAGAGCGTTGTAGTTGGTTAGAGTCATTAGGGTGGGCGTTGCTCCCGTAAGCTGATGTCCTTTATATGAGGACACAGAGACAGAGCAGCACAGAAGGAATGATGTGGACACTATAAGAGCTTTCCTATAATCACTCCAAAACAAAGCTGGTAAGTCACCTTTCAGGTGACCGAGGTGAGCCCCTCCTGTGTCAGGAGATACGTGTTCAGTGGGTTGCATGCCAGGGAAGAGACATCTCTGGGTGGTTCCTGAGTAACGTCCTCAGGTGAAGCCCATTCAACAAACGAGTATTAGTACTGAGTACTAGTACATGACCTTGGCCTAGGACCCTATCAATAAGAACTTGTGTCCCACTAAAAATTGTCAGTCTCACTCTTGAGGCCAGGCATGATAGCATAATCTATCCCAGAACTCAGGAGGCAGAAACAAGCAGATTTCTGTGAGTTCCAGACCAGCCTGGTCTACATAGAGACAGCAAAGGCTGCGTAGCGAGAGCCTGTCTAAAACAAAAACACGACCGTCTCTTGAAGTGTAGACCTAGATAAATGCCAGCTTCCAGAGAAGAGGAATGCTCAGCCAGCCTGTCACTCCCCAGAGGAAACTTTCATCCTGTCAAGTGGTCATGTTCTTGTTTGAGCTTGTTTTCCTGCATGGTTGACCACAGGGTTGCTGAGAGCCAGGTGGCCCAGCAGCTGCCTTTCTTCTGCAGAGCTTGGTGGAGAGTTGAGTGACCGGCAGGATGGCGTCTCTTGGGCCGTGCGGGCTTCATGTCTGTGTCACTCTGTGCGGTTGCCAAGCACCAGGCACTTTCTGCGGCGTTCCACGCTGCAAGCAGCGGTTTACAATTGCAGCCTTGCAAGGACACCGCAGGGGAGTTGTGGACACCATCCCATCTTGTGTATCTCTTCTGACCATGCCAGGATTTCAGATGAAATGTTCTGACCTCCTGTGGTAAGGGCTGTTATCTCTCTCCACTCAAAATGCTGTAACAGAAGACTGTAGATGGGGTAGCTTTGACACAGTAATTATTTCTTCCTTAATTATGGAGGCTGGAAAATTAAGGCTCTAGCAGACTAAATCTGCTAGAGATGAGAACAAATGTCTCTTCACCCCAGGTAAAGCACCGGTGACAGATTAAAGAAGGAGATCCACCCAAATCTCTCAGTTGACTAGGGTTGCTTATGAATGTGGAATGGGGTTACTTACAGGGTGACTCAAAGGCAGCTTGCATCACCAAAAAAAGTCCATCCCAGCAGAACTGATGGCACTCTCAAGCTACATTGTTGGAGCTCCACGAATGGCTTGCTATCAGCTCCATTAGCAGAAAAGGTTCCTCTCTGGCAACAATTGTTTCTGTTTACAGAATCTTACAACTTTATGAATTACTTGAGCCCTGTAAGTTCCTTGAGTTTCCTGAGTTGTACATGTTGCTTAGACTGCTCTTCTCCCTCCAAGAGGAAATGTTTCAATTCAGAGGAAATGGCTATACAGGAGCTACCGAGAGAGGTCTAGTCCCTGGCTCCATGATGGTACCTTCTTGTCATCACAGCAGGAAGGACCCAGGAGCTCTCCATAGTCACTTGCCTACTTCCAGTGGTTGAGTCTCATCAAAGAATGGGGTGGGGAGAGGAGGTGTGCATAGTGGTTTGAGCACCTGGGCCCAGGGATGGGGGCAGGGGGATCGGTATTGGATAGGTTGCTGAGCAGGCCTGAGTTTCAGGTTGCCCATCTGTTTGTATCTAGTAGCAGTGGCTAAACCTTGGGAAGTTCTGAAAAGCTGAGTGCCCAGACCCTGCCCAAGGCCACTTCTAGCCATGCTCTGACCTTGACCTTACACTGCCTGCACTTCTTCCCCAGAGGTCTCTGTCATGTTCCTGAGATCAGGCTGAGGCTCGAGGGCGGTGGTTCTCAACCTTCCTAATGCTATGACCCTTCAGCACAGTCCTTCCTGTTGTGATAACCCCCAACCATAAAATTCTTTTTGCTGCTACCTTATAACTGTAATTTTGATACTGTTACGAATCGTAATGTAAATATCTGTGTTTTCTGAGGGTCTTAGGTGACCCCTGTGAAAGGATCATTTGACATCACCCAAACAGACTGTGACCTTTAACACCCCCTGCAAGGGGCTGTTACCCACAGGTTGAGAACTGCTATTCCAGAAGATGTTCTGGCTTCTGGTTCCTACAGGACATTGTGAGTTGTAACTGGGCGACTCCAGTCTTTGCCTCTGTCCCCAAGTGACTCTCTTTGTATCCTCCCATCTGTCTCTTTCAAGGACACTTGTCATTGGACCTAGGGCCCATCCATTTAATCCAGGATGATCTCATCTAAAGATCCTTAGCTTAATTACAACTGCAAAGACCGTAGTTTGCAGTCACACCATACCCATATTTCCCAGGGGCAAAGGCATGCACTTAGCATATCCTTTGGGAAATCACCAGGCCACTGCATAAAATTTTCAGTGTATTGGGCTCCAGCAGTCAAGAAGTTGAGGTAGGAGAATTGCTTGCAGTTCAAGGCCAGCCTGGGCTACAGAGTAAAACCTTGTCTAAATAAATAAATAAGTCAAAAAATGACAGCTTCTTGGTCACACCAAAGTAAAGCATCATGTCCTTTTATAAAAAGCTAAAAACCCAGCTGGGCAGTGGTGGTTCACGCCCATAACCCCAGCAGGGGCAGGCAGATCACTCTGAGTTGGAGGCCAGCCTGGTCTACAGAACTCATTTCAGGACAGCCAGGGCTGCACAGGGAAACGCTGTCTTGAAAACAAATAGATAACAATAGGGATGGGGAAGAGAAGGAAAAGAAAAGGAAGAGGTTTATAAATGTCACTTTAAGCTTAGAGCCAGGGATGTAGTTCATTTGTAACGTAGCAGAATGAGGGCCTGTTTTTCATCCCTAAAACTGGGGGCAAAGTTATAATCAAATTTAAAAGTTAGCTGGTGGCACACCTTTAATTCTAGCACTAGAGACAAGTGGATCCCTGAGTTGGAGGCCAGCCTGGTCTACAAAGAGAGCTCCGGGACAGCCAAAGCTGTTCCATGGAGAAACCCTGAATTGAAAAGCCAAAAAAAAAAAAAAAAAAAAAAAGTGAGAAACCGCTGTGTAATTACACACATGTGCACATACATGCAGACACACTCTGTTAATTTTTAATTGAAAAACAAGGAATGTATCTGAAAACTAACTCTTCTTCCAAAGGAAAAAATGGCTGCAAGAAAGTCCAGCTGACAGAACAATTTAGAGCCTTGGGCTCAGATATGAACGTGAGCATAGAAAGAAAGTTATCTAAAGAGTTTGGGCCCTGGCAAGTGGGGGGAACCGGTAAGGGGGGAGAGTGGCGAAGGGAAGTTCCCAATGTCCGAGCTGATTCAAGTAACACCTGATGGCTCACGTGGGCACAAGCACACACGTACACATGCCTACACATGTGTTCATGCACGTGCAAACATATGTACACACACACACACACACACACACACACCTTTTCACCTTTTCTTGGGCCATTGCTATCCAGACACGGATTAAAGGCGTCTTTCCGTAAGCTTTCCTCCCATACCTGCCTCCGGCACTTAAAATGCAAGCCTCTAATTATAGGCTGCACCTACGAGATGAAATTATCAGCTGGAGACGCAACACCAGTCTTTGGGGTGGGGGTAGGGGGACGTGCTGTTCCCATACAAAGCCTGATTGTTAATTGCTTCTCCTGCTCTGAGCGATGGAAAAGAAATAGCCGTTTGCCGTTTAATTTTAAAAGTAAATGTGGCAGAAAGAACACCAGGCTGTCGTGAAGGACCTGTGGTCTGCAGGTGAAATATCTGATTTTTCTCAAGCCTCGGTGTCTTTCGCTAGCAAATTGAGGATGAGAAACCAAATTTTCGCCATCCACGTAGAAAGTCTATTCTGGGGTTGACAAGATGGCCCAACAGTACCTGCTGCCTAGCCTGATGACCTGAGTTTGATCTCCAGAACCCACTTCGGGGAAGGAAAGAACTGACTCCTGTGTTTTCCTCTGACTTCCACGCATGAACCACAGCACACGCGTGTGCATGCACACACACTCTACACACGTAAATAAAATTTAAATGTAGATTCCTACAACATTCACAAAACTTCCCTTCTGACTCTGGTGAAGACGGCAGACTAGCCTCTTCCCACAATTTTACTTCACAGCAGCCTGGTATTTAAAATGTCTGTGGAGCCCCCTAGAACCATACCTTGAGACCGGAAAAACGGCTCAGCGCATAAAGAGTTTGCCATGCAAGTCTGAAGAACTGAGTTCAAATCCCCAGAACCCACACATCACCAGGGACAATGGTTTGAATCTGTGCCACACCTTGGTTGAAGCATCTCTGTAGTTTTAGCTATGTAAACATAGCTCATCCTAAACTTTTTTCTTTTTATGTTTGTCGTTTTTTTTTTGGGGGGGGGTGTTTTTGTTTTGCTTTGCTTTGTTTTTTGGTTTATTGAGACAAGTTTCCTCTGTATAGCCTTGGCTGCTGTCCTTGACTTGTATAGACCAGGATGGCCTTGAACTCACAGAGATCCAACACTCGCTGAGTGTTGGGATTACAGGCATGTGACACTCCGCCTGGCAATTAATTGATTTTTTTTTTCTCAAGATGGGGTTTCTCTGGGTAGCCCTGGCCATCCCAGACCAGGCTGGCCTCAAATTCACAGAGATCTGCCTGCCTCTGCCTCCTAAGTGCTAGGGTTAAAGGCCTGAACTGAATTTTCAGGAAAGCCCTGCATTCTCCAAATAAATACCTTTCATATCACCATGTCTGGTGTAATGCTTGAGGATTGTGATTCTGGAATGGACGTCCCTGGTGTGGCAGAACTGTGGCTATGAGACCCCTCCATGCTTCATGGGGTCCACAGTGTTGCGGGCATAACCAAACTGATATGTGGTTACCACAACTCCTGGGCTACACACAACAGGGTCCTGAAGGAAAAAAAAAAAAAAAAAGAAAGAAAAGCAGAAACAGGCAGGAAAAAAGGGCCAGTAGCTAGGGAGAAGGAGGTTTAGGGAGAAGGAGGTGTATCGTCTGTCATGTGAGCTGGCCTTTTACCCATTCTGGACATTTCATATAGGTCACTTTGTAGGGTTTTTCTTTTGTTTTGGTTTGGTTTTTTTGAGACAGAGTTTGAGGTAGCCCGGGCTGCCCTCAGACTCAATAAGTAGCTGAGATGATCTTGAACCCCTGATCCTCCTGCCTCCACCTGCCAAGAGCTGAGATTACAGGCCTGTGCTGTCCCGGGGCTCTGAAGTTTTAATGTGCCCATTCGCTTGGTGTGCCTTTTCTAGGATCCTAAACACTTCAGGTCCGAGAAGACAGGCCGGGGGCAGCTCCGAGAAGGCTGGCGAGATAACCATCAGCCCATCATGTGCTCCTACAAGCTGGTGACCGTCAAGTTCGAGGTATGGGGCCTGCAGACCCGAGTGGAACAGTTTGTGCACAAGGTGAGTGACTGGCCCAGTTCTGGGGATGTGGACACAGTCACTACTGTCGTCACTGCGATATCTGCCCAACACCCCAGTGCTGAACTGGCACCAAGGGCCCAGTTCTAGAAAATACTGTTTAAGGTGAAAATGCACTTTCTCTATGCCCTGCGTAGCAGTTTTCTGTATCACCTGCCACTCTGTGGCCTCCGAGTCTACCGCATTGAGTGTATTTGGGAAGTGGGATTCACAGAATGTACAGCTTGCTTTGCCAATCAGGCTAATCTATCTTAGCCTTTAGGCGAGGGCATTTGGCAAGAACCGGGAAGGCTTATCTCCAGGCACAGCTCCTGGGGGTAATTCTCCCTTGGAAGAACTTTTGCATACATAGGCACCAAAAGCAGAAGAGGCCCTGAGGGTCAGAAAAAGAGATCCTAGTAGGTCCGTTAGGAGGTACACCTCAGCACTTCTGCTCATCTCCGGGTTCCCTTGCTGGAGAATGAGAAACAGGCTGCAGCGCAGATTTAACCGGGTACTCGCTTTGGAAAACAGGCTTAACTCTGGGGCAGGAACTAACTTGATGATGGCACAAGTTTTCCCAAGGTCTCAAATGTGACTCTTTTCCACGTGACTCTAAATTAATGGCACATGGGCTGCCTAGCAATGCCCTTTGTTACTGCTTTCACTTACGTCAGGATAAATAATCAGGCTGGTGAAATGGCTCAGTGGTGAGGGGCTCTTGCCGCCCAGCCTGACGACCTGAGTTCAATCCCCAGGACCTACATGATAGAGGAGAGAAACGACTCCCACAGGTTCTCCTCTGACCTCCACACGTGTTGAGGCTTATGTGGTCCTGTGCACACAGCAATAAATAAATGTTATAATTCTTTTTAATTTATTTTTATTCTATGTTCCTTGGTGGTTAACCTGCATGTATGTCTGTGTGAGGGTGTCGGAAGCCCCGGAACTGGAGTTACAGACAGGTTTGAGCTGCCATGTGGGTGCTGGGAATTGAACCTGGGTCCTCTGGAAGAGCAGCCAGCGCTCTCAACTGTTGAGCCGTCTCTCCAACCCAAATGTTATAAATTCTTAAACAGCTGGGCTGTGGTGGCCCATGCCTTCAATTCTAGCACTTGGGAGGCAAAGGCAGGTGGATCTCTGAGTTCAGGGCCAGCCTGATCTATCTCTAGGCAGGGACACTTGGTCTCGTCCACAGAGAAAGTTCCAGGGCAGCCAGGGCTACACAGAGAAACCCTGTCTCAAAAAACCAAAAAGAAGAAGGAGGAGAAGGAAGAGGAGGAAGAGGGAAAAACTCCAAAGGGTTTTTCCCCCCTCTGTAGTCTGAGTTTTTCTTACTTACCTGGACCTGACTGCAGGCCATGTCCCCTTGACAATAGCAAGATGGAGGGTGGTTTTCATGTTTTGAGATGGAAAGATCTTACCACACTGCTGAGGCTGGCCCCAGGCTCCTTCTGCCTCAGTCTGCCCGGTAGCTGGGATTTACAGGTGTGCCTCTTGCATCTGGCCAGGAGTTTTATTCTTGAAGTTAGAACTGGAATGGACAGCATACCCCCTCACCCTTGGGCACCCAGGGTGGCGGAAAGTGCAAGGTCTGTGGAGGCCCTGAGGGCATTGCAGTTTTCCTCTTACATGAAAAGCATGGAGTTCTCTGCTGGGTTCACACATCCCACCAGCCAGGAGAGGGAACGTGGACAGTGGGCGGACAAGTCAAGGTCAGAGGCAGCCCCAGTTGTGTTTGTGTTGCTGGGATAAAACATCCTGGGAAGGACACCTGCAGGAGAGAAGGTTTGTTTGGGGATGTCACGGCCGCAGTCATGAGCTGAGGGAGATAAATGCACAGGAGACTATTGTCGGCTCACTTCCTCTATCCACACACGGTTCAGAACTTAAACCTAAGGAATGATGCCACCCACGGTGGGCAGTTCTCCCACCACAGCAACAAAGCAGTCAGAACTCCCTCGCACTGGGCATGGGGGTGTACAGCTTTAATTACAGCACTTGGAAGGCAAAGGCAGGCAAGATCCCTGTGGGTTCAAGCCCACCCTACAATGTCTACATAGCACACTGCAGGCCAGCTGGGGCTACATAGTGAGACTCCGCCTCAACAGAAAGAAAAAGAGAAATTCTTCACTGGCATGTCCGGAGGTCAACCTGATCTGGGTAACTCCTCATTACGGCTCCCCTCCCTCCCTGGCAAGTCTAGTCTGTGTCAAGTTGACGCTTACCTTACAAGCCACCATCACAGGGACCTTGTTTTCTCTTTGTGTCCCGGCCTTAGTTACTGAGCAAGAAGACAAATCACACAGTGAACAGGCTGCAGCCTAAATTCCGTATCTGCATCGTCCTCTCCTTCATATTTACATTCGCTCCCCGTCTCTCCCTCTCTCTCTCATTCTCCCCCCTTTGCTTTTGTTCTTTTTTTTTTTTTAAGATTAGATTTATGTATATGAGTTTTTGCCTGCATGTGTGTTTGTGTGCCACACAAGCGTGCCTGGTGTCCACCGAGGTCAGAAGAGGGAATTTGGATCCTGAGACTAGAGCTGCCATGTGAGTGCTGGGAGTCAAGGACAGCTCCAAAGCAAGAGCAACAGGTGCCCTCAACAGCTCTCCAGCTCCTGTTTTCACTCTTTTGAAGCAGGGTCTCATGCAGTCCAGGCTGGCCTCAAACTCGCTTTTGTAGCCGAGGCTGGCCTCCGGTGCTGGAATTACAAGTGTCTGTCAGCACACTTGCCTTCCTTCCTCCTGTGGTAGACTTCCTCCCCCCAAATGATCTCCTCTAACTAAAGAATTATTGTGTAGCCCTGCATCTCATTTTCTCTCGCAGAACATGTTCAAGTTGCCCAGAGTTCATTTCATTTATTTCCTTGACAATGACTTTAGCTGGTTCTGAGAACCTGTCCCATTTAGAACACCTGTGAGAGTGACGCTTTGGCCATACGTGTTCCACTCCCTTGCCCAAACTAAATGAAGTGTTACACCCCCCGCCCAAAGCACCTGTTCCACTCATGACGGAGTGTTTACAGGCGCTGAAAAAAAAATGGGGCGGGGGGGGCTCTCTCTAAACACCTTTGTTTGTCCAAAATCTATTCATAGCGGGGGGGGGGTGGTACTCCAAAGCTAGACATTAACACATTATTGAAGCCCTGTTGCCAGCCCCAGCTGTGTTGTGCTGAATATGATAGGGTAAATTTATGGATGCCTCGATGCTGTTCTTTTGATTTCCATGCATTTGACACAGTCGGCACTCAAGTGTGGATGGCTGTATGGTATTCTTAGATTCATTACATGTCTCCACTCGCAAGTCATAAAAGGACCTCGACAAATACCCAGAGGCCTCGAGGAATAAACACTTCATTAGAAATGCTTCCCTTGTTTCTGAAAATCCACCCGATTAAAACCCTTTGCTTATCGGAACACACTTCAGCCTTCCATGAGAGGTTTTTTACAATCACTGGATTTGTTGGGCAAGAAGAAAGGAAGGAACGCCGCAGCCAGTCTGTGAGTCTCCAAGAAATGTCTTAGGCGATATTTGTGGGCTGAGGAGGTGGCTCGTGAGGTGCCGTGCTTGCTGCTCAAGCAGCAGGGCCTTAAGGTTGGATCTCCAGCACCCACGTGAAAGCTAGGAAATGCATACAGATGTGTAATAACACCCGCACTGGGGCAGACGAGGCCAGGGGTCCACCGGAGTCTTATTGTCAGCCAGTCTAGCCAGCTGGTGAGGTCCAGGTCCAATGAGAGACCCTGCCTCAAAAAAATGAGATGAGGCCTGGCAAGACGGTTTCATGGGTAAGGAACTTACCACCAAGCCTGCTGATGTGAGTTCAGTCCCCATATTGGGGAAGGAGACAACCGACTTCTGTCGGATGTTCTCCAGTTATCACACGTGTGCCATCACACACACACAATTATTATAAAAAGGTTTAAAGAAAGGAGATAGCAATAAAAGACTGTATCCAACATCAGCTTCACTACCCTTCACATGCACACACGCCAGAATGTCCGCTCACACACGGCCTATGTGTGCTGACTGAAAAGGTGTCCCATAAAGTAAAAGCCCCTAAGTTGTCTTACATGTGCCCACAAACTTCTTTAGCCTTCTGTCCCCATTCCTCCGTTGCAGGGTGTACAGGTCTGAGAACCTAAACTCGGACGGCACATTCCTATTAGCCCAGCTCTGGAGATTCTGAAGGTTTGCTGAGCAGTCAGCCTAGGGGAGGAGGGGGGATGGTGAGCTTCAAGCTCCCAGCTTACTAAGAGACCCTGTCTCAAGGCAGCAGGTGAGAGAGGAAGACCCTTGGTGTGTGACCTCCGCACAGGGACACACGTCTGCCTGCACACTGCACGCACCGTACACACAAACATACAGCAGATGCTTCCCTGTTCACAGGATCTTGGCAGCCATTAGTTTCTCATTTCTTGTGTACGAATGTGCTAGCACCGCAGGCTCCCAGACACGGGTGGGGTGTTTGTTCCTTTCTTTTGGTAAGCGGTGGGTTTTGTTCGTTGGCTTGTTTTGGTTCGGTTTTTGTTTTCGAGACAGGGTTTCTCTGTGTAGCCCTGGCTGCCCTAGACTAACTTGGTAGACCAGGCTGACCACAAACTCACAGTGATCCACCTGCCTCTGCCTCCCAGGGTGCTGGGATTACAGCCGTGCGCCACGGTACCCGGCTAAGCGGTGTTTATTTATTATTATAGCCTGTGAGTGTGCCACAGCATGGAGCTCAGAGTGTCAGTGTACACAGCAGGCCTCGGTACCAGCTGAGCTGGCTCGCCAGCCCCAGGGCTTGCTCTCCATGTGCCCTCTGTGAACGAGTGGCTCCCTCTTCCCTGTGAGTCAGGCGGAAGGTGTGTACAAACCAAGAGTAGCTTCTGGACACACACTCAGCAATAAACCACACCGACCCTGCTGGGCCAATCCTCTTGATGTTTAACTGGTGCAGAGTACCTTTCCTTTGAAGGAGGGTATGTCTTGATGGAAATGAACACTTTCCTGAGTAGCAAAGATCACAGTCTCAGTGGCTTTTCTGTTGCTGTGAAAAGACGTCATCACGAAGGCACCTTACAGGAGAAGGCATTTGACTGGGGGCTCGCTTAAGATTAGACTCAGAAGGTTAGTTAATCTGTGATCATCACGGCAAGGAGCATGGCAGCAGGAAGGTCAACATGACACTAGAGTGGTAGCCGGGCTTACATCTAATCGGCAGGTTGGGGGCAGAAGGAGAGCTAGCTGCAATGGCGTGCGTCTTTGAAACTTCAAAGCCCACCCATGGATTCACCTCCTCTAACAAGGACACACCTCCCAATCCTTAACAAACATTCCCACCAATGGGGGAACCAAGTATTCAAGCCTATGAGCCTATGGGGGTCATTATCATTGATCCGTCCCAATCACTTAACATCTTCTTGTCTCTGATGGAATGTCCGCTGCACCCGCATCCCAAGCTTGGGATGTCTACAGGAAAATGTGCTGGGGGATGTCAGTACACTTGGTTCCATTTGGAATTGAGCAGTGAATGTATGTGGCCAAAGCATCATTCTTACAGAGAGACGCAAGATAAGTAAATATCCTTATAGTCTTGATTTCCATATGATAAAAAGAAAAACCATGGTGAACTGTTATTGAAAGACCTACAGGCACTCATCTGTGTATGTATGGGATGCGTGCACTTGCCCATGCATGCTCTTCTGAAGGTCAGAGGTCAACATCCTAACTGTGTCTCCCTCTCTTTCCCTCTCTCTCCCACCCTCTTTCTCTCTCTCCAGCTTTTTAGTTCTTCTCCTCAATTATTTTACTACATTTTGTTTATTTATTCAGTGGGTAAGGAGGACATTTGAATGCAGTGGCACACACGGAGGTCAGAGGACAACTTTCAGGAATCTAATCTGTTCCCTCCCCCTACCGTATCTACCAGTTGAGACCCAGATACTGAACTCAGGCAGCCCTGGCAGAAGTCACCTTTACCCTCTGACTTGCCTCACTGACCCCAGCTTATGTTTTGAGACGGGCCCTCTCACTAAGCTTGGGCCTCACCAACAGGCCAGTCTGCCTGGCCAGGGAGCACCTCGGGAACCCTAACTTCCACTCTCCACAGCACTGGGCTCATGGGCATACATAACACATCTAACTTTTACGTGAGTGCTCAAGACCCAAATCCAAGTCCTCGCGCTTACACAGCCAGCACTTTACCCACTGAGCTGTCTCCCCAGCCCTTCGACCACCAGACGGCCTAGACGGCCTAGACGGCCTAGATCGAGCCTGGCGTTCTTTCAACCTCCTCCTTTTACTCTTCAGGTGGTCCGAGACATCTTGCTGATTGGACACAGGCAGGCCTTCGCGTGGGTTGACGAGTGGTATGGTAAGTCGGATGGCCCAAAATAACTTGGAGAACAGTTTCGTAACACATTGACTTGGGACTTGGCTTTTCTAGTACACCCAGCTTCAAGTGTCACCCAGAAGGACAGCAACAAAGGGCGGGTCACCGCTTCCTGCCTTGGAAATAACTCTGTCTGGTGAGCCCAATAAAGATGTAATTATAGGAGCCTGGTCTGAAATAGCCGCGGAACTATTGACCAAGTAGGACCTTGGTGTGCTTGCTGCTCTTCTAGGGGACACACAAGGCCCCATTGTTCTCCGTGGGATGGATTTCAGACCCATCCTAATTTATCCCAAACTTCAGCACTACCTGAAGCACCTTATTCAGGAAGGGCCCCTTGATGCAGGGAACACTTGAAATGGTCCCTCATCAGATACACACAAGTCCTCTGAGATGTCAAGGACAGATGGAAGGGTAGGTGCCTGGGTAGCCTTAATTGAAAGTATTGCTCTGGCTTTTGGGGTTGTTTTGCTTTTGGTTTGGTTTGGGGTTTTTGTTATTAATGTCCTTTGAAGAAGATTTTCGACAAGTTCTGCACATTGTCAGTAAATGAAAACAAGGTTTGCTTGCTACCATGATGGATGGACCACCCTCCCCGAACGCTCCACGCTGCAGTTGTACGGACCTGAGTCCTCTGCCTTCCCCGAATCAGTCATCAGGTGGCTTGTGTCCTTGGCTATAAATAGAAGCGAGCACGCCCAACCAGTGACTTGGGATAGAGCCCACTGTGTGTGTCTGTTGTCCTAAGCCACTTTATTTGTCCTGGGTGTAACCCAGATTGTGTATCGGGTCTTTTCCACTCCTACTCCACCCGTGCCCTTGGTTTCCACAGCAACAGCTGACCCCCTCCTCTACCCTATCTTAAAGTGAAAGGCTGCACTGGACAGAATGGGGGAGGGTCATTGATGCCACCAGCTGCTTCTCCTCGAAGCTCTCAAAGGCATGGTCCTCGGGACTATAGACTCGGTTTGTTTAGTTTTATGTTTCCATTTTCCTGGGCCTGCACCTGCTGAAGAATAAGTGCATCTTCCTGGTTTGTCCAAATGTCCATCCCCAGTTAGATCCCCAGCCAAAGGATGTGTGACATGCTCTGCGCTGCCAGGAAGACTCTCCAAGACCTGTCTTTAATGAGACAGGGCAGTAGAGTATCCTGGGATTGTTTCCTCCGGTCCTTAATTTTTTCTGGGTGCTTTTATTTTGTTGATTTGTTTTCGTTTACCGCAAAGCAACACTACCCACACACACACATACTCACAAATACACACTAAAACAAAAAAAAAAAAAAAAGAAAGAAAAAAAAAGTTGACTATCTGTCCTCTTTTGACTTACACTTCTCAGAACTCATGGCTTCCTCGTTGCCAGCTCCTCACAAATATCACAGGGATAGTCAAAGAGTAACAGGGCCTGCACTGATCAGAAGTTTAACCGAAGGACAGGCAGCCGGAGGACCCACACTCTGCCATCTGGATGACCAGGAGGCAAAGCTCTCAGCTAGGGTTCTCAAACATCAGAATGCTCCTGAGGACTTTTCAGAAAAGAGCATTTCAAAGGAGGGCTGGACTCTGCCTGAGGAGGCAAAACACGGCAAGCCTGCCCTTCAAAAAAAGAGGGTTTGGGGCCAGCGACATGTCTCAGTGATTAAAGGCATTTGCTGCCAAACCTGTTGACCTGAGTTCCATGCCCAGAGCCCATGTTAAAGGTAAAAGGAGAGAACAGACTCCACAAAGATCTCTGTTGATACCTACCCAAATACCATGATACATGTATCATGCAAACATGGACAATAATAATTTTGTCTAATTTAGAAAAAGAGGTTGACAACCAGCATAGAGGAAAAACCAAAATGAGAGTGGAATATGGACGAGGGGCCCTGACTCTTCCATCTCAGCTAAGCCTGCAGCAGGGAAGTGATGACTTAGGGGCATTTAATTAAGAGTGGGAGGCTTGCCTGGCATGCGCAAGGTTCCTTTAGAATTCTCAGATTATTACAAGAGCCTGAAGCTAGAATAAGGTATTAGATGAAACTCAGGCGCTCCAGCCCAAAGGTCTTCAAGAATTCCTATTTACCTAGGATGAGTTGGGGAGGCAGTTAACAGCTCAAGTCGTGTATTGATCACAAAATCCTCTTTGTGTCTACGTTGTGGTTGGAAGGCATGGGCTTTGGTGGATGTGGACCATCGGGGGCGCCTGGTGGTCCACCCAGAGTCGTCTCCACCCCCTGTGTCCACAGTAACAGTCCCAACCAAAACAAGCAGCCTTTCCCAGGCAGCAAGGGTCTGAGAACCGCGCCATCCATTTGGTGTAAACTCCTGCTGAGCCGCTGGCCTGGAACACAGCGGCTCCTTCATTACCTGACGCAGACTCGCAGGAAATTAAATGAATAGAAGCAGGCCCTGCCACAGAACGTCTCCTCAGCCACTTACTGATTCAAGGCCATTCGAGGAACTGTGGGTCTTTCAGATAGCTGGGCGTGTGGCGACCACGGCAAAGTCCAAACCAGGATAACCCTTTGGCAAGGGTACCTGGGGTTAGCTTCTTCCCTCTGGTCATGTCAGTGAGGCCCTCATTAGCAAACATGGACGAGATCCCACGTAAGGCGGCCTCCTCTGGAGCCACCGAGCCTCAGCCTCTGCATCCTCTGGGTGTTTGTGAGAGATGAGCCCCCTAGCCCTCTGTGGCTCCAGAAGCCTTCCAGCCTGGTCCTGAGTGGTTGGCTCGCAGCCCGGGATGTAAGGCAGATTGGCTTACAAGGACGGCTTAAATAATTCATTCCAAATAGATTAGACTAGAAGAATTATAGGTGTCTTCGGGGACAGCAGCTAAGCTCTGGTGCCCTATAAGAATTAAAAGAAGAGATAAGTAACTCCCCTCCCCCTGCCTCCCCCCCCAACACACACACACACCTCTTTAAGTGGATGTGTTAGAAAAGGGTCCCCCTTCTGGGCAGACTCAGTGGGCGCCATAGTCTTGCTTTGCTCCTCAGCAGCATGCTTGGGCCGTGCATACTCCAGGACAGCCCTGGCTGCCTCTCTCTCTCTCAAACTAGACTCCTCATCTCCAGTGCCCAATTATGAATGGAGAAAAGACACTGTCAACGTGGTGATCTTTCCTCACCCAAGGGTTTATTTCCGCCTCTCGCCCGAGTTCCAGCATTCTTGGAAGTCACGAAACTATTTCCCTAAGCAGATTTCATTCTGCTCGTGTTCGCTGTAAAGTAGCAGCGTGTCCGTGCTGGAGGAGTTGAGTTTGCTTTCCAAAGCCCCGATTGGTCTTTATCCGTCAGCCTTGAGCCTCTCTGCATGACTAGAACACTAATCAGCCGAGCCACAACACATTTCGGGAGATGGGGCAAGAGGGGAGGTGGATAAAAATAGCCAGCCCAGCTTCACAAAAAAGCACGGATTTGCTTCTCAAATCTGACGGAATTTTCAGAGAGGCACATTGAAGATTGCCACAGGGGCCCTGTGACTGAGGGCCACCTCACAAATGTCTTTGAAAATCTGACTCTTCCCAAAAAAAAGTATGTGGGAGGTTGAGTTCTGGCTGGCAGATGAAACAGTCCTCTGAAGTGACTTAGAACTCAGCCAGGATCCCTAGGGAAGGCCTGGCAAGAGAGAAGCAAGCTCAGGTGTAGAAATGAGTACAAGCTGGGTGAGCTCACCACGTCAGCATCTTCCAGTAGCCCCAGGGTTTCCAGAATCAGACCCTGAGTGTGTGTGTGTCTCTGTGTGTGTGTTTGTGTGTCTGTGTCTGGGAAGAGAACTCGTAACTTCACATCACTTTCATTTTCAAAGGGGTCTTTAAACCTGTTTCCTGACCATATTCCAAAAAAGTGGGAATATTGGCACCGATCTATGGCTCCAGCACTTGGGAGGCAGAGGCAGGAGAATAGCCACAAGTCTGAGACCAGTTTGTACCACACAGGGAGTTCCAGGCCAGCAAAGGCTACATAGCAATAGCCTATCTCAATACAGAAGAAAACAGAAGCTGGAGAGATGGCTCAGAGGTTAAAAGCACTTGTTGCTCTCGAAGAGAACTGGGGTTCATTTCCACATGCTGGTTCACAACCACCCAGAACTCCAGACCCAGCGAATCTGATGCCTGCTTCTGATCTCTGCTTGCACCAAGCATATATGTGGTCCAGATATACGTGCAGGCAAAACATCCATACACATAAAATTAAGAAGAAAATCCAGGCCATGGTGGTGCACACCTTTAAGCCCAGCAATCGGAAGGCAGAGGCAGGCGGATCCCTGTGAGTTCGAGGCCAGCCTGGTCTACAGAGTTGGTTCAGGACAGCCAAGGCTACACAAAGAAACCCTGTCTCAGAAAACAAAAAGCAAAAAACAATTAAAGAAAAACAAAATCACAGCTATTGATTGCCGTTCTAGCTCTTAGTGACCTGAATGTTATAGGAAAGGCATGTCCCCAGCCTTAAGGATTGGCGATTCCAATTCAAAAAAAGTAGAAGCACATAAACTCCTGTAAAGCACCTGTGTTAAGTTATAATGGTTCTAATAAATTGCTTTTTTTTTTTTCTTTTAAGTCCTCACTAGACCTAATGGTACATGTGTACAATCCCTGATCACAGGAGGCTAAGACAAGACGAGGTTCTTGAATGCCAGGCCAGCCTGGGCTACGTAGTGAGTTCCAGGATAGCCTAGGATACATAATGAGACCCTGTCTCAAAAACGACAGTAATAACAAAGAGAATTTAAAACTGAATCTTCCCGGTGGGTGACTACCGGCTTGCTGGAGCCAGAAGTTGTCCACTCCAACTCATAATCTGGTCTCCAGAGACCCAACACTTGTTTCAACTTCGGTTTTGCCTCAGAATGACAAAACAGTGGTCTGTTTGGCCTGGAAGAGGGGAGAGGATGTAGGCCAAGTAAGCCAGAGCCACGTGCAAAATGCAGTTGAGACCGTTTGTGGGATGCCATACCTGGGGCTTCCTTGAATGAGCATCCATCAGTCTCTTACCCATGACTGTCTCCAGAGGTCATCGGACTAGTCAAAGAAGCTGTGAGGAATTAAAGACTTTTCTTCTATAATTCTATTTGGATTTATGTGTGGTGTGAAGCCTGTGTAAATGTCAGAGGACATCTTTCAGAAGTTAGTTCTCTTCTTTCACCATGGGGGTCCTGGGATTTGAATTCTGGTCACCAGATTTGGTGACAAGCAACTTTACCTACTGAGCTGTCTCACCTTGAATTCTTTTAATGTAACATAATCCTGGCACTATTTGAATAACAATAAAAGTAGTTTCAAAAACATTCTATTCTGTTCTATGCTGACATAAAGAAATATGTCAGCAGTTAAGAGTGCTTGCTGCTCTTACAGAGAACTGGAGTTCAGTTCCCAGCACTCATGTGAGGTAGCTCACAAACAACCAGAAACTTCTGGAACCTAAAGACTTCCAGTCTCCACAGGCACACACACAAACATGCTCATACATACATCCAGACACACAAACAAAACATATAAATAAAATTTTAAATTAAAAAAAAAAAACCTAAAGTGGGCCTGGGGCTTAGTTGGTACCTGCCTAGCATATGTGAAGCCCTGGGTTCAAACCAGAGTGCTACATAAACAGTAGTACACAGTGACTGTAATCCCAGCATTCAGTAGATGGAGGCAGGAGAATCAGGAGTTCAAGGACAGCCTCAGCTACCTACTAAGTTCAAGGCTGTCCTGTGCCAAAGTGAGACCCTGTCTCAAAAGTTTACGAAATGATAATGACAATACTGAGCACGGTGGCACACACCTGTGATCTCAGTCTTTGAAAGGCAGGAAGACCAGGAGTTCAAGGCCAGCCTATCTTAAAACAACGAAGAATAAAGATAATAGAAGACTCCAATAATTGAAGTCTGTTTTACTCTATCATGTTTAGCTAGTGACTGGGGAGAACCTCAGTTCACAGATTCCCTGGGAGCAGAGGAACTCCACCTCAGCACTGTCAGAGGAAAGGGCTTCAGCACCCACGGTCCCAGCCCTGAGGAGGCAGAGACAGGAGGGTCCTGGGGGCTCACTGGCTAGCCGATCTAGCCAAATCGGTGAGCTTCAGGTGCAGAGAGAGACTCTGTCTGGAGAAAGAAGGTAGAGGCGCTAGAACAATGGCTGCTCCTCCGGAAGACGCAGGTTCTATCTTCAGCCTCCACAGACACCTTCCAACCACCGATAGCCCTTGACCCGGGAGATCCAACGCTGTCTTTTGACCTCCGGGAGCACCGTGTGTGCCTGGGTCAGGCAAAGCACCCATGTACACAGAAACAACAACCACATAATAATAGAGATAGCGGAACACCACCAACCTCCACTTCCGGCCTCTGCATATAACTGCACATAGACACGCACGCCTAGCGCCGCGCCCTCGCACATGCGCGCACACAAAAGGAAAAAAAAAAATGATGGCCTTTCAAAAATCTGTAAGAAGTCGTCACCCAAGGCTTCCTTGCCTTCAGACTTTCTCTGAAAGCCGAGCAAGATGGCTCGGTGGGAAAGGCGTGTGCCCCCAGGCCTGGTAACCTGAGTTCAGTACCCAGGACTCATGTGGCAGAAAGGGAGAACAGACTGGCACAGGTTGTCCTCTGACCACACATGTGCACTATGAAGTTTGGCTGACCTCAGAGAGCATGTTTCTGGCAAGAGCTCTGAACCTAAATTGCTAGAAGTGACCGTGATCATGAAAAAATCGATCCGTAGCAAGGGTGAATTGTCTTCAGGAGCATGCTCTGTCACCAGGCACATGCAATTGAGTTTTCTAAAAAAAAAAAAGATTATGTGTGTGCATTCTGAGGCAATATCCATTGCAAAGAGAGCACAGTACGTTCGGCCAGATAACCCAAAGTGGAGGCTTTTCACCCAGTGAGCAGGTTCATAAATAACTCAGGCAGACCGGTAGACATGGTACCTCCTGTTTATAGGCTTTTCTGGTATGTGAAGATATTTTGAGATGTAGAGGGGTTTCCCTCAGTTGGTAGCTTACCTAGCACACAGCCCCAGCATCATCCAGCACTCGGGAGGTGGAGGCGGAAAGATCAGGGGTTGAAGGTCCTGCCAGGATACACACCTAGAGAGAAAGGGATCGGAAATAGATGCTTGCGGGGTTTTTGAATACATGGAGGACCTCTCCCACCAGGACGAAGTGTTCTGCCTGTTTGTTTGTTTGTTTTATGTTTTTGTTTTTGTCACACGGGACCACTAGTTCCTTGTTATCCTCAACTTTTAACTGTGAACAAGGCACCGGTCATCTTTGCCACTCAGCCCTCTCCAAAATAAGGCTCTCAAAGTCCAGAGTCCGCCTGTGTTAAGTCCCTCCCTTCACAACCAGCCAATCACAGCTAAGGAATGATTTCTGTGGCGATCCAGTAGAGAGAGACAGTAAGCTCCTTGCCTTCTCCGTGTTTGTTTTCCCAATTAAGTGGTTAATAGCATGTATACCAAGAAACTGTCTTCAAGTTCGATTGAACGGGGCCTCCTTGTATTCCTTTGTAGGTGTTTGTGTTTAAGCAATACTGATAATCAGGCCCTGAAATTGTGGGGTTTGGTCTTGTGGAATGTCTTATTATTGACTAAGGACCCCTCTGCCTGCACCCTAAAGCAGCACTCTCTTACTGCTTGCCAATAACCTGTTGAAAAGCAAGAGCATGTTCTCGCTTGACCGGCCTGCCGCTTAACCGTCTCAATACTTACATTGCTTGTGGACAGCATTTCCCATGGATGATCAGGGATGGGAAGGGCATCATGAGTTCAGTAAAACAGCCCAGGCCTAGATTTGGAGTCCCAGACCACACTGAATCAAATCATGAGTTCAGGCAGGTCTGCCATTCGGAAGCAAACAGAACCTCACATGACACCCAGATTGATGTAAAAAGACATCAGGCCACGTGATCTGGAAATACTTAAGGAAAAGCTAGCTGGGAATACCTACTGCCCATCCCCCAGTAAACCAGTCAGTGGCGGGGTGGGAGAGGGTGCTCTCCCCTTTTCTTTCTTCCTTCTTCCTTTCTTTCTTTCTTTCTTCCTTCCTTTCTTTCTTTCTTTCTCTCTCTCTCTCTCTCTCTCTCTCTCTCTCTTTCTTTCATGAAGTAAAATTCCACCAAGACAGGGATAAAAGGTTGCCAGACTGGGAGAATAGTTGATAAAATACATCAGAATGTCAAGAGAGTTGGGAGTGTGGAGAAAGACAAACAGGAATGTTTAAAGTGAGACCAATGAAATAGCAGTTTTATGCATGTCACTTGCTGAAAGAGGAGATTTCTTGCTTTTCTTTTTGTTTTTTGTTTTTTTTTCTCTTTTTTTGTTTTGTTTTCATTTTTATTTCGTTTTTGTCTTATGTGCATTGGCATTTTGCCTGCCTGTGTGCCTGTGTGAGGGTGTCAGATCCCCTGGAGCTGGATTGCAGACCGTAGTGAGCTGCCATGTGTGTGCTGGGAATTGAACTTGGGTCCTCTGGAAGAGCAGCCAGTGCGCTTTACTGCTGAGCCATCTCTCCAGACCCATTTTTATTTCTTTTTTCTTTTTTCTTTTTTCTTTTTTCTTTTTTTTTTTTTTTTTACAAGGCTTCTCTATATAGCTCAGGCTGGCCTTGAAGCCTTAATCCTCCTGCCTCAGCCTCCCAAGCGCTGATATTTCTCAACCTGGTCACTATGGACATTTGGAACTAGATCTTTGTTTGTTGAGAACTGGGGATCCTAGCACATGGAATGCCCTGCAGCGTCTCTGGTCTACCCCTCACTAGAGAGGTGCCACTAGAGTACCTGTCCACCATTGTCACAAACAGAAACTGTCACAAAGCCGTCCGCCTCTGAAAACTATCATGGATGAGAAGCTCATTATCCTGAGATACTGAAAAACTGTAGATTCCAGCCAAACGTGGTGTTGTGTGCCATTGTATTTATAGATCAATGTGGGCGGAATAGTGTCAGCCATCTCCAAGCTGTTAGACTAGACTCAAAGACCTGCCCTTTCTGGCCCCTTATATTCTATGCGAAGACACATCTGTGTGAGAATTGTAGTGACTGACTCTCTCACACACACACACGCACACGCACCAGGTCTGCCCTCCACAGCCTGTCTCCTACCAGAGCAATGAAAGTGTCCTTGCTGTTGTCAAATGCACTAACCTAAAGGTGCCCTAGATCTCTGGGAAGCTCTGCCTGAAGGTAAGTGTTAAACCGGAAACACCTGACCTCTCTGACCGCAAAAGGGATCTTCTAACAAAGCTTTAGGAGATCTCAGGCTACGCATAGCCCACTCGCTGGCACTTTCACCCACTTTCCAAGAATCACCCTTGAAACGATTTCCACTCTCAGCTTCCTTGCCCTCTCTCTGGCTGGTCTACCTAACTTTATGATTTATCCCATAAAGTTAGTCAGTCACCTGCTTTTTTTTTAAAGAAAATTTTTAAACCTACTGCTGAGCTACTATCCTCCCTAGAGTGTCCCCATTAAAGTTTGTATTTAATAACGGCAGCTGCCCACGTCTTGACTTCTTTCAGATATGACAATGGATGATGTTCGCGAATACGAGAAAAACATGCATGAACAAACCAACATAAAAGTTTGCAATCAGCACTCCTCCACTGTGGATGACATAGAGGGCCATGCACGGACCCGTGTATGTAGACTGTTCAAAGCGCGTTGCCCACCCGGTGGGGATCAGACACGGAAAACCACCCCGTCAGCCCTGAGAACTCGGGGTCCCCAGCCCTTCGTGAACCAGAGACTGTGGGTGAAGATGCCCCTGAGCCCCTGACTGGACTGTTGTCGGTCACCTGGGTCCTCCAGATCTTTCCATTCCTTTAAAGTGGCTTAACTTCGAGGCTAACTGGGTCATTAAGCCCAGGACACGGAGGGTGGAAAGATTTGGATGGCCTGCACCAATCAGGAAATAGCATAGGAGTGACAGTGGGGTCAGAGATCAAGCAGATCAATTGCCGAGCTTTTCAAGGCATGGGGGACACTTGTGTTCCATGGGGGCTTCGCTGAGGCCTGTTTTAGGTTTCTTAGGCTCTGAAAGGCTTTCTAGAACCCCTTCAGGCTGTTTTACTCAGTCAGTTCCTCTTGATTCAGGCTAATCTCAAGGCTAAGTTGCAGTCTGTGCGCGCACACACACGTGCCAAGTGGTGGAGGGGTGATGAGCTGGGATTGAGGGGTGTTGCATAGGACACCTGGCTTGGGACTTAGCGAAGGCCTTAGGGAGCCTGGGTTCTTGACAGCCTTGGGTTACTGAGAGCTGACTATGTGGTATAGACCAGAATTTAAATACAGTTATCCCTCAGCTAGTGATGCCAATGAAGAGGTGGCAGAGAGGAAGAAGAGCTAACCTTTATGTGCGTCTCAGCCAGAGCCACGCTCTCTCTGGGAACAGCTTGAGCCCTTGTGTCTGCCAAGCCCAGGCCCTGGAAGGTTTACGGGATGCTTGAAAAATCAATGCAGTTATTACATGGCTGTTGCTTTTGTTTTGGTTTTTGGTTATTTTGTTTTTGTTTTTTGGTTTGTTTGGTTTTTTTTTTGTCATTGTTTTGTTTTTAAGAAATAAGAATCTTGGGTCTAGAGAGACGGCTCAGCAGTTCAGAAAGCTTGCTGCTCTTGCAGAGGACACAAGTTCAGTGCCAAGCGCCCATGTCTATTGGCTCACAACTGCCTGTAACTCTGGGTCCAGGGGGTATCCAGTGCCCTCTTGTGTCCTCAGCAGGCAATACATGCACATGTACACACACACACACACACACACACACACACACACACACACACACACACA